ACCAAATGGTCAAGTCGAAGTGTAAAGCAGAGTCTGCCTATGAAAATAGGGTCTAGGTTTCTGGCTAAGGACAGTGTTGCTGACCGCCTTAGAATAATGGTTCAAGATAGTAAGGTTGGAGACCTTACTGAAGGACTAGTTTCCAGGTAAAACCCAGTAGATTAAAGTGAGTAATATAAGCGGTAACTACTGTGCTTAAATAGTCCATATGGGGCGCACAGACCAGGCTAAGAAAGGTAGGCATAAGATGCATATCAAGATAGAAGCGGGGATAAGAGATAAGTGATAAGAGCCCTTATCAAGATAAGGGCTGTGCATGATAGCGGTTGCTAGCACAAAAGGAAGCTTTAGTAATCATATTAGTGAGATACTGAAGGTGATCCAGCGTTCCATAACTGAGGATGTTAGAGACCATTGTCCAGTAACAAAAGAATAAACGGGGGGGCATAATAAACCATAACACAATCCTCAGCGCTTGGGATACTATACCCTTATCTCAACCACATACACATTCCTGTATGGGTCAAGGATAAGAATGTCAAAAAGGCATATTTTATACCAATACTATAAAATATCACACCTTCCATCTCGCCATTCCTTCCACAGAAGACAAAGCTCCAAATCCGCACGATGATCAACAAAACCATTGCAGACGACTTCCGGCCAAGCCCCTCTGACCTCAACCCCAACAGCCTTCATCAATGGAACACCCTTGTTGAAGGCCGGAAATCAGCGTGTGAGCTATTCACATCACGAGTGTCTGACACCATAAGGAACGGGTCAAGAAAAGGCTTCAAGCTGCCTCTCAACTTCATCATACCCACTCAAAGAGATGGAACAAATTTCTTCATATGGTATCATTCAAAAGAAGGCAGGTTCCGCAGAGAGCTCGACCTCGAAGATGCCAAGAAGGAGTTCGAGACCAGACACTGGGCAGAATTCACCTACAACGAAATCTCAAACCAATGGGACATCTGCTCCCTATTCGACAAGGACTGAGATTTGCTTCATGACGATGCACAATTTAACCAACCATTACAGGAAATTCTTGCAATGCCAGCTCCCCTACTCAGAAATCCCCCTACCCTTCTGTCAGACCATAATAAGTTGGGAAGAATTGTGGTGCACCAAACAACTACTGGGCAGGACATGCTGTTTTCTACATACCTGGAAGATATTTTATACAGCCGATGTGGACTGCTCTGCAGCACGCAGGACAAAATATAGTCTGCAAGCGACTTCATGCACATCGAAGACTCTCAGATCGTTGATACCTACACCATTTGCAAATACATCATGGAGGCCAATCTCCTGCTGGAACACCACAGCAATGAATTTGCTATCTGGTACTTTATATCCTCTTTCGCACTCAAGGTTCAACTGCCTTCAATCCTATGGGATTTACATCCCAAGCATGCTCGGCAGCTCCTAACCTGCAACATATATTTCAAGGTCGAGCAGGTGAAGGACAAGAGTCTACCTGGCTACCTGGTCCTCCCTCTCATTCCGAAATATGCTCGCACTTGGAACTTGTTCCTCGGAAATGCCACTTCCATTGTTCAGTGCATTAGGGAGCAATGGGGGCCATCCTTAGAGGATGTGATACTCTGCTTATTCAAGCGCGGTATACTGTTCAAACTGCTGTTCCATGTTGCCTACCCTTCCATTCCCCGTCCCATATCTGTCTTCGAATCCAACTGCCATCCTTATGGTTGGACGGCCAACGAGTACGAATATGCAGACTACAAACTTCATCAAAATTATTTGTTGAGATTGCTGCATGTAAGAGTCGTGGTTGCCCAAGCTGGAGGAATTCTCTGGTGTCTCTGCAAACAGGAGCTTGCGAATGAGATACCCAACATACCTTCACTCAATGTCCTTTATTTTGTGGAAGCGTCACCAAATTCATCCCACACATATCTCTATGACACGCTAAGCGAGCACGAGATTGAGATCCTATGCTGGATATACTACATCGACACAGGTACACCTTTTTTCTACTCCTCCAATGTATCCCCCTCATAACCTCATCCACAGATAGACGCGCTCAAACCACTACATTGGCATGGTGGCCCAATCCTCAGCTATGGGATTCATCTGGGCTGGACACAGGATGTTGGACACTTTCCTGCGAACAAATGTTCCAATGCAGGCTGGAGAAAATCTGTGCAGGATCTGCCTTCTTGCTCACCACCAAGAACTGGAAGTCTGACCTCAAATATTACAAGAATCAGAGCAAGAAAATCTTCGGCTGTATTGACACAGAATGTCGCCAGTTGTTAGAATAACCATTGCATGCACAGTAATTGCATCACTGAACTGGTCTCACAATTAATTAACATATCAATACGTACTGACATATCTCATACGTTTCCTTAGTAGTAGTTTGCATATGTTCACCCTCTAGTTGCTTGCACACATCTATCTCACACTCTGACATTCCAATCAATTCCTGTGTATCCATTCAATTTATGCAGGAAGACAGCATGCCCATTGTGTAAACAATAAATGTCCAAATATGATAGCCTCGAACCCTTTGAAGTCTTTGAAGTCACGCATCCAACTATGTCCTTGAAGTCTAAAGTTACACATGCGCCCTGAAAGTCTTCAAAGTCTTCAAAGTCCAACTTCATTTGAATTGACATGTTGTATGTCCTCAAAGTCTTCAAAGTCACATACATGGCCTCAAAGTCGCATATGTCCTCGTGAGTTTGAGGGCATAATAAGACTTCCACGACACCATATCCACCAAGACTTCCAAGACATACCACAATTCATCATCTTCAATGATGGCTTGCCAATGAGAAATTGGATCCAGTTAGGGCCCTTGAGATCAAGGAGCAGAACACCGCAAACAAGCAGGCATGGAGAAAACGCAAGAGAGAAGAAACAGACAAGACCCGACAAACTGCACATGCAAGCACCCAAGGCAACCCTCCTTGAAAGTGGCATTGGGCTTCACCTACTGAAGCATCTTCCGATATTGCTGGGCCATCTAACTCTGCCCATGACCCCATCCCCGCTGCTGAAACACCTTCCAGTCTTGATGGGCCATCTAGCTCTATGCACGGACCCATCCCCATCAATCCTGTCCTCCTGAACCAAGAGGCCCCCATAGTCACTGGGACTCCCCGTCCAATGTGCAACATCGAAGTGACGACAGACACACCTGGCTCCCTCATCCACTCACCCTCCTCTCCACATGTCCAAACATCCCCCTCACCCGCCTTGTCTGTACTCACCGACCTGGACTCCCACGATCTCTCCATGCCAATAATTGACTCTCAAGTCCACGAACAGTCAGAAACAGTTCAATGGTGTGATGGATCCACCACCGTCCTTCCATGCATCATGATGGACAGCATCAACATATGTCAAGAAGACGCAAATGCAGTGTCTTTTTTTGTGTTGCTTCCAGAGTCCCTCCCCGAGATGTCACAAAATGTCATCCACTTATGGTATAGCGACTGGCACTCCAAAAGTTGACAGCTATGCAACGAGATCTTCACAGTGCTTTGCATCAGTAAAGCCATCGTCATCTGGCAAGTCAGCGCACCTGAGCCTGTAACCCTTGACCTGGATTACCTTGAAGATCATGGTATATCCGACCTCATGTGTGTCATGGTACATGGTGAGCCTGTTGAAATCCTTTATTTTCTGACTTGATATAATGCTATAACCAGATGCCGAACAATGAACAAAGGATTTCGCGTATCCCCACCAACATGCCACCCTTGCACAATTTATGAGCAATATACACAACTCTCACCAGATCCAGTGTATACTCGATGTCCCATTTTCACAAGGTGGTCTCCCATCATTCGTGAGGTGCATATATAACTCTCGTATGCTGTTACAATGCTATACTGTCTATCCTCAGCACTCTCAACCATGGCATCATTAATGGATGGAGCATCAGGAAAAAGGAAATTTTCCTTAACACCACTTATGGTGACTTGCAGGTGATTCTAAGTAAGATTCAGTAGAATTCTGCTAAGTATGCCATTGCTTAAAACAAGTAGGGTCTTCTGATGAATTTGACTTGTTGTTACACTTATCAGCGACTTGACATAAGTACACAGTTAAGCAGTGACGTCAAGTGTGACTCGTCATGTCAGATTCTCTCAAAGACACATTGAAAGCTAAGTCAAAATAAGCAGACCAGAAGTAGAGGGATTCAGCTCTAAGCAGCCACATAGGTCTGAGTATATATTGTGTCTTTAAGGCTCCCAAGGTTGCAAAGTCAATGGTAAGTGTAGAATTTGGACAATAAAGTGGTGACTCGGAGAATCATGTGTATTCATACCATGCAACCAAGACATCCAAGCATATCTTTAAGGCTCCCAAGTTCCACACAATTGATAGGTAAGTGAATAATTCAAGCACTCACAAAACCATTCAAGTCGGGTGTATACCATTAACACCGTGATCAAGACAAAGCGGTCAAGGAAAGCATCAATTCAAGTGGTGACTAAGACAAAATGTGAATTAAGATGGTCAAGCGAAGGAAATAAGCGTGATCATAAGAACTGCCAGAGTTGAATCAGGTCAGTGTTAGTTATATGATTATTCACCTCTACAGTACGCATTTCTATGTCTTTTATGTGTCTAACCTTGCCATTACACTTACAGTATCATTCCTTACACTTTGCTACCTATTTACATGACTTCCTGATCTCCCTAGGACGACCCTAGGTCGAGTTATTACTTACCCTTTGATTGTGGCTTGTCTGTTTACATTTGTTTACCATATGTCGCCCATATCCCAGAGTCCAGTGCTTACTGCCTCTTTGGCAACTTACTCTGGACTCTAGGTACAGCACAAATTCACTATACCATTCAATAGATTGGCAACTTACTCTGGACTCTAGTCTGATCTCTTCTGGTCTCTCAGTAGCCTCTAGAAGTGGCCCACTTCACTCCCATCTTAACAGTCAATAAGTGAACACAGTGCTGGCAAGCAAACCACTGGCAGAAGATGACAAGAACGAATATGATTACTACTCCGCGTCAGAGCCAATAGTATGATCCGAGTCTTCGGACCCAGACTCAGACTCCGAGATGTCCATGAGCTGGGCACATTCGTCGAGATCTTCATCATCCACAGCATCATCGACGGCTCTATCATTGCCAGAACGATGGCTTTTCTTGGAAAATTCCTTGGCAGAAGTGATGATGGCTTGGAACTTCTCGTCTCAGAAGCTCCTCATGATCGACTTCACATATGAGCATGTGGAAGAACCCCAGGTGACATCATTGAAGCCCGTTTGGCGATTGGAGACTTTGCCGGTTGAGTGATTGAGTGTCTTCGGCAAGGGTATAGATTTGCCCTTGGCAGTGAGAACCATTTCGATGGTTATAGTACGAGTAGCAATAAGTGTCAATGCTCGTTCAACCTAGTAGTAGCAATGAGTGATCAGCGAGGTGTGATTAGAAAATAAAATAAAAATATATTACCGCAGCACATGACAGCGCTAGACCCCCAACAGGATTCAAGTTTTCTCCCGGCTTCTCTAGTCCATGTATCTTGCGAGCGCCGTTGATAGCAGTGAAGTGGGCGCCAAACGTTTGCACCACGAAGGCACCTTGATAAAGTCCGCGGAACTTCTGCATTGCATGTTATTACTAGTGGCACAGCGACAATGAATAGAGATAGTGAGAAGCACATACAGATTTATTGTCACTGTTTGCCTTCTTGTACAAGAAGCGAAGCTTGTCCAGCGCGTAAGTAGCAAATTCGACACGATTATCGTCCGAGTGCTTGAGTGTCTCCTGGGACTCGAGGTATGCGATGATGATCGCAATGGCTGCTGAGCCGATGAAGCTTCGATAGGAGTCAGCAACACGCTGGACAGTCTATAGTACCAGGTTGAAGTTAGTATTGCCATTGACACACATGAACACACTTACTATGAGATACACGGTGCTCGTGCTTGTGACTGTGTACGAGATGTTGGGGAAAATTGTGTCCCAGATCACCTGCAATTTCTGGCAGGCCAACTTGGGGGGAACCTCCCAGGGGTTAGCCAGAGTTGCAATATATTGCATGTAAGTAGAAACAAAGACACGGCGCCACAGCTTTTGTTCAACACCATCCGGGAGATCATTGTTGCCAGGTTTGCCAGGTTTCTTTGTGCGCTCGGCTTGACGAGCTGGGGGCTTGCCAGGCGAATCCTTGACGAGAGCCTTTACGATATGATGCGGTTGTATTAGTATTAGGTCAACAACTGACTTAAATGTTAAAAAAATAAGACACTTACTGAACTTGAAACCCGTTTTTTCCCTTTGGGAGGGCTAGCAACTGCGGCCTCTCATTCAAGACCTTGGGTCTCATCTTCATCCGAGAGTCCTCTGAGTCCATCCAGGAGTTGGAGAGTATCTTGCTCTTTTAGTTCCTGCATGATGGGGACAGCGTGAGAAATCAACACGTTTTCTGTCAGAACTGAATTGGTGGATGAACGAGTGCTGGCATTGGTCAGGGGGGGAAGGCGGCGTGAGCTTGTGCTATTTTTAAATATGCTGGGCTGGCTGGTGGTGGCCTTAGTGCTGGGCTTTGCATTTTCCGGGATCCTTGCTGCCCAATCGTTAATGCCAGTGGAAAAGTCCTTGCCATTGGGAGTCGAGTCACTGAGGAAAAAGTAATATAGAGTTGTTTCATCGAGAGTGAGCTCAAGCATGATAATGGGTAAGAAGAAAAAGCTTACCTTTTCGAACTCGGCGGAATCCGTTTCTCATCAGAACGCGCTTGACGGCTAGCCTGAGCGCTGATCTTCCTATCTGCATCTGCCAGATCTGCCTTCTCTCCTTCTCCTTCTCCTTCTCCTTCTCCTTCTCCTTCTCCTTCTCCTTCTCCTTCTCCTTCTCCTTCTCCTTCTCCTTCTCCTTCTCCTTCTCCTTCTCCTTCTCCTTCTCCTTCTCCTTCTCCTTCTCCTTCTCCTTCTCCTTCTCCTTCTCCTTCTCCTTCTCCTTCTCCTTCTCCTTCTCCTTCTCCTTCTCCTTCTCCTTCTCCTTCTCCTTCTCCTTCTCCTTCTCCTTCTCCTTCTCCTTCTCCTTCTCCTTCTCCTTCTCCTTCTCCTTCTCCTTCTCCTTCTCCTTCTCCTTCTCCTTCTCCTTCTCCTTCTCCTTCCCTTTGCCCTTCTTATCAACACGACCTGGAGCCCCGGCCATAGAAGTAGCACTGCGGTCATATTCACTCAAGATGGGCATGGCCCACTGAGATGGCTGCCTTCCCGGAGGGTGACTGGTGATAGGTTCGTCTGAGTCGTTGTTCAAGCGAGCAGCCGGAACTGAATGTGCTGATTTTTGCTGATGGCCTTCTTAGATGCCATTGTTGAAGGCTGATCAACGACCATAGCATTGTCATCCGGCTGAACGGCTGCTGGCTGTTTGCTGGGAGCTTTCTTCGATGTTGCTTTGACAACAAGGATGTCTGACTCGTCCGAGTCATCGGTATGGAGGCTGATTGTGCTGCAAGGTGCAGTTTTCTTCCTATCTGCGGCCTTACTTTTCCCTGACATATGAGTCTGCTGGACTGCTTTGATAGCATCTCGTACAGAAGTCTTCGTCACCTTCCCTGCCTTCTTCCCGCTAACTTTCGTCTTTTTCCTGGACGGTGACGATGGCATTGCACTGTCAGACCCATCTGCATCTAAGTCCGAGGCCGTCGTGTCTGAAGGTTGGGTTGGATCGGGGTTGAAGGCGCTACTATCAACAGCCGCATCATGCATCTCAGCATCCGACAGAAACCCATTGTCCTCCACAGCGGGAGTATGTACAATTGCCTTCTGCTTACGAGGAATTGGCCTTGGCTTTGGTACCGAAGGTGCAGCTCGTGCATCACTCATCTCGGCATCTGAAGGAGGCGTGTCCTCTTTGACAGCAGGAGGTGCCACAACAGCCTTCCTCTTGCTTGGGATTGGCTTTGGCTTTGGCTTTGGCTTTGGCTGCGCAGCTCGCGGTGTAGCATCGGTCACCACATCCTGGTCCGCCTGCTTCTTCTCATATTTAGCAACACGTTTGATGCCAGCTCTCTTGGTGCGTTCTTTCTCTTCTTTAGCATCTAATTTAGACTGAAGCTCAGCAGCTACTTCTTCTGCAGTACGGTGTTTCTTCTTTGGCATTATGTCTGGGATACCCGGATGCTGAGTTGCATTTTTTGCACGAGTGACACGTCGGGTAGACATAGCAGTGAGTAGAAGGGGGTGAGCTCGGAGGGCACAAAGGCTTTATCAAGAAGACGTGTTTACAAGTAAGATGTTCGAATCGGGACTTCAATGTAATTTGACTTGCTAATTTGCCACACCTCAACAGCACTCTTCGGGCCAGTGAGCACCCGAGCTCCATTCCTTCATATCTCCAAGCCTTCGACCATATATTTCTACTTATCCATATCAAATTCTTTCTGAACTTGCCAGGGCTTGAAGGAGATGACAATCACTGACTATCAACATCGGTACCAACAATTGAAATCTTTATTGGTGACCAACATACTACTACTAGTAATGTTTCCTCTAGCTCCTAGTAAACTGTGGTGTGCTGACTGCTGTGTTTAGACTTGAGGGGGGGCAAGTCTCACTTCTGTGGCGTGTCGCTGAATGCAACTTCGCATGTCAAATGCATTCTGTCATGCTCTTGGTCTTCCTCTCATCAAGATAGGCGATCGTCTTCGCCGCATGTCAAATGCATTCCATCATGCTCTCGGTGGTGGCTGGAAGTTATTCATGGGCGCACCTTGCATCAACCCTGGGCAGATCATGTTACCATTGGCTACTTGTACGTACTCGCATGCATGATGTTCTCCTGTGCATTTACCAGGCCTTGTATAAAGTCAACTCAAAGTTACACCTCCAAAGCCAGACTCATAGGCCCCATTCGAGTGCACAATATGCACAATCTTGGCCGCCCTCAACCCACGCTGCCATGCCTAGTGATGGGCTGTATCCGCTGTTTTTACAACAGGTCAGGGCGCACCACTCATATGCAATCCCACCATCCATCTGAAGAACCCGAAGTCCCACCATCCCACCATTCCTCCTCGAGTTCACAGCGTTCCCAGTCATCCCGACCTGGCACTGGACATGCTGCAACAAGCTCAGCACGCATGCATTCACGCAGCCCAACTCAGACTCTAGTGCAGGTGACGAACAACTTGAAGCACCTGGGAGTTGCAACGATCAAATGGAGTTTGACTTGCCAGAGTCGGATGGATGTGGGTATGGCTTTCATGATGATGCTGCCAATGAGGCAGATATGAACAGCTCAGATCAACGTCCTTCAAGTGGCACTGGTCCCATTGGCCAGGCGAGTCGAGATGGTAGTGTTCCTCTTCAAGTTCCTGGTGTTACCAGAACATATCATCCTAATATCAATGGTGCATGTTAATTTCACTTGACGCTCATCCAAATTTGTGCCCATATACTCATCTCCATGAAGGGAAAATTTGCGACGAACATGGAGATGACATACCACCAAATACTCCACCACCTCCACGTCCATCAAATCGTGGACCAGACAACTGGACACCGTATGCTAATCGAGTTGATTTCGAAGTCGCAGACTTCCTCTACCGTCGCAACCAGATGTTGGGGGGCGATATCGACTTTATATTCAATCTGTGGGCCGCCTCATTAGCGGCTCATGGTGAAACACCCCCCTTCGCAAACCACGTTGAGATGTACAATGTCATTGATTCGACGCCTCTAGGTGACGTCGCCTGGCAGAGCTTTACTTCAGAATATAACGGTGCTCTACCTGAAGGTGACGTTCCGACATGGATGACCTCGGAGTATGATGTATGGTTCCGAGATCCTCAGATCCTCGTGCACAACATTCTCTCCAACCCAGACTTCGAAGGCAAATTCGACTACGCTCCACTACAGGAGTATGATACCAGCAACGGAGCACATCGCTTTCAGGACTTTATGTCCGGTGATTGGTGTTGGAAGCAGGCTGTAAGCCATTTTTCATCCTTTTTTCCAATTTTCTGATCTCTCACAATTCACAGGATTTGATTGCCGAGGATCCCAATACAATTGGATCTATGTTTGTTCCAATAATCCTTGGCAGTGACAAGACTACGGTCTCCGTCGCTACCGGACACAATCAATACTGGCCAGTTTATATGTCGATCGGCAACATCCGCAACAATGTGTGACGTGCACACCGCAACGGTGTTGTATTGCTGGGCTTCCTAGCCATCCCAACAAGTACGTTTCAATCTGATGTTGTCTGTTGCTGGCGCTAATTAGATGCATATATCTAGCTGACAAGGAGTCCGCCAAAGACGCACACTTTCGAAAATTCCGCCGTCAGCTTCTCCACTCATCGCTGGTGAAGATGCTGGAATCCCTTAAACCAGGTATGACAACACCCAAGGTTGTACGCTCCCCCGATGGTCATTTTCGACGTGCGGTGTATGGTCTTGGACCATATATCGCTGATTATCCCGAGCAAGCATTGCTCGCTTGCATCGTTCAAAACTGGTGCCCAAAGTATGTATTTTTTTGTCCTTCATGTTATGCTAGTACTGTCTACTTACTACACATCCATCCAGATGTACTGCTCTGGCAGATGGTCTTGACAATGGTACCTATGGTCGGCGTTCCCGCGACCATACCGAAGTCTTGGTGGAGGAATTCAAGTTAGGTGTGCTATGGGATGAATATGGACTTGTAGGAGACATCGTGGTTTGTACCTTCATTATCGTAGTCATTTTTAAGCTGACAACTTAAATATACGTGTTCTACAGCCATTCACCAACTATTTCCCACGAGCTGACATTCACGAACTCCTTTCCCCCGACATTTTACATCAGCTGATAAAGGGTGCGTTAAGGACCATATCGTCACCTGGGTCCACAAATATATTAAGGCTCGGTACTCGGAAAATGAGGCGAATAAAATATTAGATGATATTGATCGCCGGTAAGTCCAATTTTGAACATGCTGGGTTACAATGACTGGTATTGATGCACTCTACAACTAGCATTGCTCTTGCTCCCTCATTTGCGGGCCTTCGACGATTCCCGGAGGGAAGGGGCTTCAAACAATGGATGGGAGATGACTCCAAAGCACTTATGAAGGTACGTCAATGAACAGGTGTTCTATCATCATGAGTAGTGTTGACTAACGTGTATTCTTACTACCATAGATGTATATACCTGCGATTGAAGGCCACGTACCTCGGAGATGGTGCTGACTTTGCAAGCCTTGATTGATTTTGTATACATTGCGCGGCGCAATATCATTGACTCCAACAGCCTCAATGCGTTGGATGATGCACTCGAGCGTTTCCACAGGTACCGCGAAATATTTGAAACATCCGGTGTTCGCCCTAATGGATTCAACCTCCCTCGACAACACTCGCTTATCCACTACCACAAATTGATCCGATCATTTGGCGCACCAAACGGACCTCTGTTCTTCCATCACAGAATCTAAACATATCAAAGCTGTCAAGGAGCCGTGGCGACAGTCCAGTCAGTTTGAAGCCCTCAATCAGATGTTACTGACAAATCAACGTCTAGATAAGTTAGTGGTGTCTCGTATCGACTTTGCTAGCCGCGGGATGCTAAGAGGAACATGTCTATCATATATCCTTGACAAACTCGGTACATCTACTAGCATTTGGCCACTAATATTACTAACACAAATCACACACTCATAATCCACAGGGCTAAACGCTCCAGTGCACAATGCAGAAGCCATTCAAGTCCGACTCGAGGACAAGCCTATTGACATTCCCCATCTCGGACACAACAATCATGTGAATGCCAACTTGGAGGCTGAGCAGACCAAGATGCTGAACTCGAGGGCGACGCTGTTTGCTGGACCGACGGTGATACTAGCTCATGTGGACTTGGCGAAGAAATCTGGTGAGTGGTAGTAGTACATTCACCTGGCGTGCTTTTTACTTTACAACAAATTTTAATGTAGCAAACGGATCTACTGCAGACCTCTCGCAGATTCAAATTAGTGAACGGAACTCACCACTCATATTCAGCAATTTTTACGTGACCAGCTCCATCATTCTGACTCCAACTTGAACTCAGAAGCCTCCGAGTCTGGCGCTGGCTCGTCCGGTGCCCTTCCCGAGCTATATGAAAAAATGACTCTGTATACATCTGCCATTGCCACCTTCTTCGCTCCAAGTGAGTCTCAGGCATTCGGTGGTATGCTGCTACAAGCGAATTTGTGCCGTGGATACCTGGAGGAACGGCCCTGGTCGATATGACTGTGTTTTGTTAGTTCTGATCCCACTGTCGAGGGCATGCGTGGCTTCGATATTGCTCAAGTAAGGCTTTTCTTTTCATTTAAACACAATGGTGTACTTTACCCTTGTGCATTTGTGCATTGGTTCAAACATGTGCACGACTCACGAGATGAGAACACAGGAATGTGGGTAGTAGAGCCTGAAACCTGCGAGGATGGGACACGATTTGCCTCTGTCATTCACCTTGACTGCATTTTTTCGTGCGGCACACCTTATGCCTGTATTTGGGCATGAATTTGTACCTACTTATCTCTCTTACACACAGACCCTTGATGCTTTCCGCACTTACTACGTAAATAAATACATTGACCATCAGGCATTTGAGATTGCCTGGTGACTTGATACTAACTTATGTCGGCTTAGGAAGTACTTTGCATAGCGCCTATTAACTTAGTTACATCGCAGCATGGTGTTGATTACTTACAAATAACCTTCTTACTTGAACACGCTTTTCTGCAGCCTCTGTGCTGAATTTTGGCCATTCATTGCTTACTATCATTGTGTTTCCTTTGTGAACAATCCTCCAAGCAGAAATTAAGCCAGAATGGTTTGCTTTGACAACTTGGTGAACTTAACGTCGAATTAAGTCTCTGTAAGTGAGCTAAGATGGCTAAGACTTTTTCCCTTTTTCCTGATGGAACCAATCCACTGTCGACTGCCCCATCCATGAAAACATGCACCCAGACAACTTCACCGTGCGTTCATGGGCTTTGCTCCACGGGCCTGCTATTGGACCAATCCCCATCACAACTCTGATGGTGGTGCAACTTTTATCCAAATTGAAACCGGCCAGAAAAAATGGGGCCTTTTTAGGCTGATTAATGAGTAGACGGTTACTCGCACCAACCTCTCCAAGATGGCCCTTACACTGGTGGATCTTTACCGAAACCATGAAAATATCCAGGAGAACTGG